TTTTTTTTGCTGTATGCAGGCCTCTCACTGCTGTGGCCTCTCCCGTTGCGGAGCACAGGCTCTGGACGCGCAGGCTCAGCAGCCATGGCTCACGGGCCCAGCCGCTCCGCGGCATGTGGGATCCTGCCGGACCTGGGCACGAACCCACGTCCCCTGCATCGGCAGGCGGACTCCCAACCACTGCGCCAGCTGGGAAGCCCTCCCTTTTACCTTCTTTTGAGGACTCTTAAGTCTTCCTTTTGGATGGAAGGAAATAAAAGTCAAAAGCTATTTTACAAAAAATTGAGAATCTTTTTTCTAGTAGTATTGGTTCTCAGTCTAATGAAACAATTTGAGGTTGAAGTAGAAGGCCTGAGTCTGCTCACAGAGACCACTGCTCCGCCCTCCCCCCAGACAGGCTAGGACAACCAAATGGATGGTAGTGCCTCTTGCTAAGTATGGAACACAGATCAATTTTAAATCTGTTGAGTTCAGAGTGTCTGTGAGACATCTAGATGGAGAGGAACATTAAGCAGTTGGATGTATGGAACTAGAGTCCAAGAAAAATCTCAGCTGACAATGTAGATTGAAGTTAGGTAATGTCATAGATAAGGTATGAAATCAACAGGAAATAAGTAAAGTGAGAAATGGACAAACCTTGAAGAAATAGGGAGGGTTGAGAAAAGGGCATGTAAAGGTCACTGAAAAAGAATGGCCAGAGAAGGAAGAGTTTAGCCAGGAGAGTGTACTTTCAAGAAGCAGGCAAGTGCAGATAGTATCACATGTAGCTAGGAGATAGAAATAAAGACTGAGAAATACCCATTGTCTTTAATACTGAGGAGGTTACTGGGGAGAAAGCAGGTTCCCTGGAAGGGGTTGGGTTAGGTCGCAAAGCCAGATTGCAGAAGGTTGAGGAATTAATGGGAGGTAAAGGACTGGCGACAGAGAAGGTTATTGTTTAGCAGTGAAAGAGGTGAAAGGGGAGGCTTTTGGCAGTTAGCGGGATGTATCTAGCATACGACGACAATTGCGATATTAGCATACGACAATTGCGATATTTATCATATTACAATTGTGATATTTAGCATATGACAGTTGCGCGCCCACGCACTTTTTAGCTATAGGATCTTGAACAAGTTAATTCTGGCCTCTTTTTCCTCATCTAGGAAATGAGAATGATAATACCTACTCTTACAGGGCTGTTGTAGGAGTCAGTGAGAAAACGTAGTGTTTTTTGTAGTACCTTATACAGAGTAGGCACTCAGTACATGTTTTGTAGAAAAACAGCAACTTCACATGTTACACATGCCAGCATTATAGTCTTTATAATTTGATTTAAAGCAGTATATGTGATATAGTTCATAACTTTAAATAAGACCAAGTATACACAGTTGAAATTTGAGTAAAAAATTAGCCTTTGAATAAAAAAAATGTTTCTTTTCTTGCTCTCTCCTCCCCTTTCCAATCCAGGTCCTGAGGGAGTCTAACAAATTAGCAGAAATGGAAGAACCACCCTTACTTCCAGGAGAAAATATTAAAGACATGGGTCTGTAATGGTATTTTTTGTCGAATTTCCTCCTTTGTGACTGTACAGACTATTCAGTACTCTCAGTGTACAGAGAACAGGCTCACTGCCTAGACACCTCCTGTTTGGTGGACTCATTACCGCCAGCCTTCCCAGCATCCAGTGTGTTCTGTAAGCTTAAGTCTAGACCTGTTGGTTGTGTTTGGATTTGGACTACTGGGAAACATGAAAGTTGAATGATATTCTGCTGCTTTTCTGGTTTGCTTTACTTTCACTGAAAGTAGGTAACTTATTTTAAAAACTGTTGCTGAATTTCGTGAAAGTAAATTTCATTATTTTGAATTACTGCAGTAAGACAGTGGCTTGCATAGATAAAAAAATTGAATTGTCACTTTGTACAAGTAATTTTTCTTAAAGCACATTCTCTCTTTTTGCTTCTTTATTTTTTCCTACTCTGATTAAATTTGTCAATTTTGGATAAATATATTTCATCGCCATTGCAAAGCAAGCCGTTTGCATGTAGGTGCCTTTCTTTGTCCAGCATAAATAACTAAGCATTAACTTACTGTATGGACTGGAAACTGGAAACGTACTTTTAAGCTATTTTTTGGTCCTCATGCTTTTATTTTGTTTCTCTTGCGTGGTGATCTACAAAATACCCATTGCTTTTTAAATTTTTAAGATGTTTATTTATTTATTGAAGTATAGTTGACTTACAGTATTAGTTTCAGGTATACAACATAGTAATTTGATATTTTTATAGATTACACAACATGCAAAGTTGTTATAAAATATTGACTATATTCCCTGTGCTGCACATTACATCCTTGTAAATTATTTATTTTACAATTGGTAGTTTATACTTCTTAATCCCCTTTACCTGTTTTGCCCCTTTCCCCACCCCTCTACCCTCTAGTAACCACTAGTTTGTTCTCTGTATCTGTGAGTCTGTTTCTGTTTTGTTATATTTGTTCCTTTGTTTTTTTAATTCCATGTATATGTAAATGGTATGGTGTTTGTCTTTCTCTGTCTGACTTACTTCATTAAATATAATACCCTCCAGGTCTATTCATGTTCTTGCAGATGGCAAGATTTCAGTCTTTTCTAGGTGTCCATTAACAGAGGAATGGATAAAGAAGATGAGGTATATATAGAACTACCTTATGACCCAGCAGTTCCACTCCTGTTTGGAAAAAAACCCCCCGAAACACTGATTCAGAAAGATACATGCACCCCAGTGTTCATAACAGCATTATTTACAGTTTCCAAGATATGGAAGCAACCTAAGTGTTTGTCAATAGATGAATGGATAAAGAAGCTGTGGTGTGTGTGTGTGTGTGTGTGTGTGTGTGTGTGTGTGTGTGTAAAATGGAATATTACTCAGCCATAAAAAGGTGAAATTTTGCCATTTACAGCAACATGGATGGACTTGGAGGTCATTATGCTAGGTGAAATAAGTCAAAGAAAGACAAATACTGTATGATATCTCTTATATGTAGAATCTAAAAAGTACAACAGACTAGTGAATATAACAAAACAGAAGCAGACTCACAGATATAGAGAACAAACTAGTGGTCACAGGTTGGGTGAGGGAAGCAGGGAGGGGCAATATAGGGGTAGGAGATTAAGAGGTACAAACTATTAGGTATAAAATAAGCTACAAGGCTATATTGTACAACACAGGGAATATAGCCAGTATTTTAGAACAACTATAATGGAATAAAACCTTTAAAAATTGTGAATCGCCATATGTGCACCTATAGCTTACATAATATGGTATAGAAACTATACTTCAATTAAGAAAAGAAAAAATTGTATGCTTGTGTTTGTAAAAGAACTCTGTAAAGAAATAACATAAGATGATTGAAAAAAAGATGTGGTATGTTTATATATTTATATATATACAATGGAATATTATTCAGTCATTAAAAGAAAATACTCATAGCTTTTGAGAAATAAAGTAATGTATAGGAGAATACAGTAGATGGTTTTTCAGTCAGAGTAAACAGCACCTTTCATTTGATTATCAATCATAATTTTAAAAAGCACTTAATAAATGCCTAATTTCCCCTGGTCACATGTCATTTCCTTGTGTAAAAATAAGCAAGCCAAAGGGGACCTATCCCTTAAATGTGTTGTTATTGCCTGAGGTACATTTAGTTCCTTCACACTTAGCATTTCTCTCTTCTTTCTTTTAATTCTTGATTGAATACTTCCACATTCCTTTTTCCCCCCCTACTCACCTCAGGTATCCTAAGCTTGTTCTGCTGAGCTACCTACTAAGTTAGGTGTTATGTGTTATTACCACTGGATATTATATAATAACAGTAGTTATCACTATTAAGTGCTTACTGTCTCATTTAATCATCCACACAGTGATCTTCTGAGGAAGATATTAATCCCATTTTGTAGATGAAGAAACTAAGGCATAGGGAGACTACCTAGCTAGTTATAGCTAGCACTGAGACAATTTTTTTTCCCTCTTCTGAGCCTAAAGCATATGCTATTTCCACTATGATAAATGACCTTATGAAAGATTTTCAAGTTACCACTCAATCTCTTTTGTTGTCTTCCCCTCCTTTAGATAGCAACACTCCAGTTAGGACTTCATCCTTGGCTCATTTCCCTTTGCTCTCCTATTTGCTCTTTTTAGTTGATCATATCTAAATTAGTAGCTTTACCTACCATGTATTTACTGATGACTCCAAAATTTGTTACTTCTAGTGTGAACCTCTGTCTTAATATGTATAAAACAAATGCCTGTGTCTTAGACACATGCCCTTGGATATTCTGTAGATATCCCTTATGCTCAGCATCTCCAAAACTGTCATCACCTTTATCTCTAAATTTACTCCTTTTCTTTTCTTTTCTTTTTTTTTTTTTGTGCTATGCGGGCCTCTCACTGTTGCGGCCTCTCCCGTTGCGGAGCACAGCCTCTGGACACGCAGGCTCAGTGGCCATGGCTCACGGGCCCAGCCGCTCCACGGCATGTGGGATCTTCCCAGACCGGGGAATGAACCTGTGTCCCCTGCATCGGCAGGCAGACTCTCAACCACTGCGCCACCGGGGAAGCCCCATCAGCTGCTCTTTTTTTCTGAACTCTGACATTCAATCAGTTACCAGATCCAGAGGAGTAATCTCTAAAAATTTCTTGAATGATATCTTTTTCTTTCATTTTCATGAGCCCTTGGTATAATATCTATGTACATTGAATTTCAGGTACCTATGAGAAACTTGTAAGAGTTTGGGAGAGAGAGCAGGGCTGGAAGTACACATTTTGGAATCATCAGAATATGGATATTAGTTGAAAATGAAAGGAGGAAAATAACCCAGAGAATGTATGGAGTAAAAAGAGGGCCAAGAACATAGCTTTGGTAAATAGTAGAAGAGGAGCCAGGGAGGGATATTGAGAAGGAATGAAGAGAGTGTGATATATAAATTAGAGAGATCCAGACTATATACTTACCTTGTCCAAATAGTTACTTTCTTACTTCTGTATTTTAGTTTAGGTTCTTCTCTGCATTGAGTGCTGTATCAACATCTCTACCCATTAAAAGGATACCAACCACTGGGGCACAACTCACATGGCTGTGTTCCTTGAACCTTCTCCGATCCCATAGCTTAATGGACTTTCCTTCTTTGTATTACTTAGAGTATGTTTTTGTGCCTCTCTTTCTGCACAGATTGCATGCTTCCATATATTACATTTTATATATTTTACATCCTTATAGATATGTATTCTCAAAGTCATTTTGGTCTGCCTCATGGAAACTATTATTGATTCTTTGTGAGCTCAGAGAAAATTTGAGAGGATTGGTAAACCTAAGCTCTTTTGGTACCACTAGGCAGTATCAGTATGGCAAAATTCAGAGGAATAACATATATTAAATAAAATATTCTGATTCAAAGTCATCTGTATAGACTTGATTATTCTTCAAAAAATTAAATGTAATACAAAGGATAAGGCAGGTAACCTTGAGTGTATTACTTCATACAGAAAAGACATTCTTAGTTGGTCTCATGTAAATCTGCAGTTTAGACATTTTTTAAAAGAGTAGTGTTAGGAACATCAACAGAATGCTTTAACAGTAGCAGCAACAGTCTCAGGATATTGTGGCCTGCACACATCAGCAGTAGAGGTGGCCCCAGACGGCAGTATTTCACCCTTTAACACAGGAGACAGACTGTGCTACTTGAGTGGCTTAGCTTTGCATGATGTGGTGGAAGGAAATTTGAATTTGCACTCATAGGAATTGCATTCAAGTCCTAATCTTAGCAGTTACTGGTTCTGAAACATTAGACAATTTGTTTTACTTCTCTGAGCCCTGGTATTCTCATCTAAAAATTGTAGGTAATTAGAGGTTTTATATTTAAAGGTTGTTTTGAAGGTTAAGGGAGGTACTCAGGTAAAAAGTACTTTATAAATTCTGAAGTGCTAGGCTGTCAGTGCTGGTTGTTACTATTGTCATTCGCTCTGGTTAAGATTCCTAATCACAGTCTCTCTTCTACTTGGTACAAACTCTGCTAGGCATAAATTCTCTCTTCAGAGTGACTTAGCTGCCACCAGCCTGAGGAAAAAGGATAAAAGGGACAGAGCAAAGCCAAGCCTAATGATGATAATAGTAACATAGCTATAAACCCTTGGATTGGCCAAAAAGTTCGTTCGGTTATAAGTAATTTTCATCAAGAACTTTATTGAATAACGTATTCATTAACCAAATGAACTTTTTGGCCAACCCGATATCTAGTAGAGTACTTTTAATTTTGGAAGCACTTTCATGTATATTATTTCATGATTTTAGAATAAAGGAAGTTGTAACAAAAACTTTGGGCTGGGACTAAGAGGGACATATCCTGTAGTAGAATATAGAATAATAAGACTGATTTTCTTGTGTGAGTGAAGAAAATTGGCTCTGGAAAAAATCAAGAAATGTCTTTAGTAACATTGAATAAAGCTTTCCCAGTTGAGATAAAAATTCATAAGGGCAAGAAAATGTCTGCAAGGCAAGCTTATGTATCTTTCTATAATGATTGGTTTATTTAATTTTAATACCTTTCCTCTAAATGAAGCATTGGAAATGCATTGGAAACAATGATTCAAATAATTTAGCTCATACTTGAACATTCCCAAGGGAGCTATTTTGAAGGTTAGAAATGTTTGTTGGAAGATCAGTCTCATTTCAAATTCCATACAAAGTGGTCAGTCCTTCAAAGTGAGGAATAGAAAGCAAAGTCAAGGAAGATCAATACCTTATTAAACATATTTCATGTTCCCAAGTTTTCCCAGAAGCCCCTTGAAAGGTTCTTAAAAATTTTTTGCTCCTAATTGTGCTTTAGTTTCTTGGAACAATGAAGATGTTCCTTTATCTGCTGCTTTGCTACAGTAATGACATAGCAGGGATTTATGAATGTTTTAAGATACAAAAAAACCTTTGTATTGGGCATATGAACTCTACCATATTAAATATTATTTTGAGCTGGTGGTAGCTGAGTTACCCTGCTTAATTAACACGTTTTAAAAAGCAATAATACTGTATAGATTCATCATTTATCATTTAATTAAACAATGCTTGTGATTATTTCTCTACAAAGTTTGACATCTGTTGCTCGGTCAGGAATATAATACCCTCTTATTGTACTGTTATTTTTTCTAAGAATCTATTTCATATATGTTTCATTTTCTGTACAGTATTTTCTGTATAAATATAATCAGGTCAGGAGTTTCTGTTGTTATGTTTTAGGTATTGTATAGTTAGAGGAATGGTGACACACTAGACTGTGGCTAGAAGAAGACCAGCAGATTGGAGAGATGATCTAGGAACTATGATTAGATGTTTGGTGACTGTGACTTGAGACATTTACTGTTGTTCCCACCTTTACCACTACTCCTCCACTCACTACTCCAACTGCCACACCTCGTCTGTCCATCAGGGAGAGTGGCTATCTTTGTTTCCTTGTGTCTGTCTCAGGGTGAAGGATGTCCCTCTGCTTCTTCAGTCCTTCCCATTTATTCTACATTCCTTCCCCGGATTAGTGTGTGGTTAGAAGCTTGGATTTGGCATTTGAGGTCTCTTTGAATCACTGATTCTGTGATTTTTTTGATCATAATTTAGACTAGCAATCAGAATTCTTTTAAATTTTGTTTGTGAAAAGATGATAGTGCAGTTTTTAATAGTGCACAATGTATAGTAAATTGTGGGCTCTTTTCCTTTTCAGCCAAAGATGTAACTTATATATGTCCATTCACTGGTGCTGTACGAGGAACTCTGACTGTTACGAATTACAGGTTATATTTCAAAAGCATGGAACGGGTAAGGCTTGTTGGATCAGATTTTTATATGTACATCTGTATGTTGTTTGTTCATCTTTGGTCATTGTTAATTAAAGCATTTCTAGTTAATATTTTTCTCAACTACAATTGTACAGTATCAGTTGCTCAGTTTTAATTTTTTTTTCCTTCCTTTAGGATCCCCCATTTGTTTTAGATGCTTCTCTTGGTGTTATAAGTAGAGTAGAAAAAATTGGTGGTGCTTCTAGTCGAGGTGAAAACTCTTACGGACTTGAAACTGTGTGCAAGGTAAACGTTGTAATACATATGCAATTTTTTTTTGTTTGAAAAGCTTTCTATTAAATAGATATTTTAGAAACTTCCAAAGTATCAAATGGATTTCATTCTAGAAGTGTCATTCTGGTAGAAGAAAACAACATTTAGGAGTGATTCGTCGTGAATTAGGTGATTCGTCGTGAATTAGACTTGAATTTTTTGGACTGAACACAAAGTACTCTCACATTCATTATTTCATTTTTGAGCCTCATAAAAATCCTGAAGTAAGCATGATGGACATTATTACCTTTAATTTACAAATTAGAAACATAAGGCTCTGAGCAGTTAAGGCTCATAGTACTCTGTAGTGGAGGAACTGATTGTGATACAATCACCTCTCTTTCCTATTTCTAGTTCTCATAATTTTTCTGCTTCTAAAACAATGGTGAGGAAAACTTCATGTTATAGACCTTGTGTATTTTCTTATCTAACTAGTATTCCTTAAGTGCATTGATACTTGAATGAGTTAGATTGTTATAATCTTAACATTCAGTCATAAATATTTAATACCATTGCCACTTCTAAGGTCACTGTTCTCCTTACTATATAGCCTAATTAACAGCTGTGTACATCTCACTTCTAGATCATCTTTTTCCTTTCTTTTGCTGTTCTGCGAGTGCCAAAAGAGTAAAAGCAACAGCATATGCATAGCTTTCAAAATCCTTTCTCGTGACAATCTTAGAAGCTTTATGAATATAGTATTAAAGCTAATGACTTAGTAATTATTTGTGTGGTTTTCCATTATAGTTGGAAGGGCTCTAAGAGTATAATAGCTGTGTCAGTTGTGTGACAGGCACATTGTCTCCTGATTGCTCTTCTGTGGTCTAAAGAGTAAATAGAGCATAGAATATAAGAGGACATGAAAGAGGGTGACTGAAATTTTGATCATTATCAATAAACCCAGACATTTGTAGGGCCCCTGCTATGGTACTTTTGGAGAGCTCTGTTTAACAGACTGATTATGAATATCTCTATTAGTTGTAAAGGTATTTACTGATGAAAAACAAAATATCAGCTTAAGTTCTCACACATTTGTTTTAAAAGGTGGTAGAGCTGGCATTCTAATTTTGGATCAGATTTATAATAAAATGTTCTACTTGTTCATGTTCTGTAGGTGCATTGTAGTGGAGTGTCTGTGTGCTCAGTTTTACAGAATTCAGTGGAATAAAGCTATTTTGAACTCTGTCTAGATGAAACCACTTAAATAAAATGAATAGTCTTGAAATTATTCATAATCCCGTTTATTTTCTTAGTGCTATTAAGATCTCAGTAAATTGGAACATGAATATCTACATTCAGCCTGAGCATAGAAAACTGCTTGAGAACAAATAAGGGAAGGGAATTTTGCTCTTTAGATCTGACTTTAGAGCCTGGATGATATCAGTCAAACTATTCAAAGTTTTTGCTAGTAGATAGTTGAAGAACTTGGGACGTGGACTGGAGGGAGACCTTTAGGCAGAGTTTGGTTCTGTCAGTCTAGTAGCAGGAGCCTTATGAATTGAAGATCCAATGGAAATGAGTCCTGGCAAGGGATTATAAATAGGCAAATGATCACCAAGCATAATAGGAATGAAGACATTTATGAAATATAACAACAGCTAATCAGGTTTTTAATAGGGAAATTCATAACAGACATTGGGCTTTCACAGGGAAAGGACATAATTTTTTTTTTTTAAGATTTATTTATTTATTTAATTTATTTTTGGCTGTGTTGGGTCTTAGTTGCAGCATGTGGGATATTCATTGAGGCACACGGGATCTCTTGTTCCGGTGCGTGGGCTTCTCTCTAGTTGTGGTGTGCAGGTTTTCTCTTCTCTAGTTGTGGCATGTGGGTTCTGTAGTTGTGGCTTGGGGGTTCCAGAGCACGTGGGCTCTGTAGTTGCGGCAAGTGGGCTCTCTGGTTGAGGCACGTGAGCTCAGTAGTTGTGGTGAGGGGGCTTAGTTGCCCCGTGGCATGTGGAGTCTTAGTTCCCTGACCAGGGATCAACCCGCGTCCCCTGCACTGGAAGGTGGATTCTTTACCACTGGACCACCAGGGAAGTCCCAGGGCATAATGTTGATAGTGTGTTTCAGCCATGTAATTTCATGACTTCAGGTATAGTATCTCTAATCTCCAGTGCCTACATCAGATGCTGGCTCCTTCAGTGGCCTATCTTTTGTTCATAAGCAGAGGGAAATTTTCCCGTCCTCTGAATTCTCCCTTGTATCAGAGTGTCTTGTGTTTATTTTTGTTTCTCTCAATAAGACATTGTAATTTCCCTGCCTCCAGGAGCTGTTGTCTGTTTTTGTATCCCACATTCATTCACTTTTTATTTAATGAACAAATAGTTGCCTTATTTGTTCATTAAATAAAAAGTGAACAAACAATGATAGGTGACTTGGATCATAACTCTTTTCTAGGATATCCGGAACTTACGGTTTGCTCATAAACCTGAGGGACGAACAAGAAGATCTATATTTGAGAATCTAATGAAATATGCATTTCCTGTCTCTAATAACCTGGTAAGAGGTTTCTCATCTTTGAAAAAGCTATATTATAATTATTGGTGTAGTGTCAAGAAACTAGGCTATTTAGAATCTCTCTGTTTACAGTCCCACTTTGCCAGATGTCTAGTTTAGGTTTAATCTATAGGACCAGCTTTTTAAGGTATAAAATGAGGAAGCTGGACTAGCTGATTTCTGAGGTCCATCCCTGCAGACTGACATTCTATCATTATATGATCTTTCTATCCAGGGTATTTCCATGATGAAAAGCTGTATGTGGTTTTCATTAGGATGTGAAATCTTTTTAATTGAGAGCTGAGAGTTAAGTCTAGCAATTTCAGGAGGGAAGGGTAGATAAATACTTAGAACTGAGTTCCTACTGTGTGCTATTAACAGTACTAGGTTTCCTCATTTATTTTATATAATCTAACTTCTACAGTAGCCCTGTGGTGCTAAATATTATTTATCCATATTTTAAAGTTGAAACCAGGAGCAGGTAAACAATTGACTCAGTGGCGTAGTTAGTAAGAAGTAAAATTTAGAATCAATCCTGGTCTTCTGACTCGAGTTTGAGTGTTTATCATCATAGTTGTTCCTGCTATTCTGTCTACATTAATGATAAGTTAAAGTTTCTTTTTTGGTACAGATTGCAAGCCCCAAATTAAAAAGTTTATTCAGTATGTCTTAGAAAATGTAGCATAATCCTTAAAGCTGCTTAACTGCTGATATCTGTGATGTCAAACTAATTAATTATATCAGAAGATGTCTTTTTTATGTAATATCTTTCATTATTTAGAAGTAAACCTAAAACAGTTACCAAAGATATCTGAAGGAAACATGGTGATATGTTAGCATTTGATAAATCTTGGTGGCAGACCTTTGTGCTTGAAAATATAAAAAAAGGTAAGTTTTCAAAATTATAAAACAAAAGCTAAAACAACAATATAAAGAAGAATACCAATACAAAATATCCTTACAGATAAGTAAATGAAAACTTGGGGTATGATAAGGTTACATTTCTGATTCATTACCTTCTTAAATGTCTTTTTTAGCTATTAACTCTTTACTTTTTGTAGCCTCTTTTTGCTTTTGAGTACAAAGAAGTATTCCCTGAAAACGGGTGGAAGCTATATGACTCTCTTTTAGAGTATAGAAGGCAGGTAAGTACTTTTTTTTTGAATTTCAATATTCTGTATTCTTTTCATTACAACAAAATGTTCATGGATAGAAGTGAACAGCTTTATATAGTTTTGTGGTTTTTGTTGTTGTTTCTTTAATAAAGGCTAATCTTGATTTTTTTGATTGCCTTTCAGTTTCTTTAAACAGCTTTTCAGACTATGCCAATGATCTTTCATGAATCTTTACTTATCTAAGAGTTTACAAGTAAATCAGTTTATTGAAAAGATGTTTAATAATTATAAAAATAAAATTGTAAATATATTTACATTTTAATGTTTTTGTATGTCATTTGCATTATTCACTCAGATTTTTCTTTTTGGGTATCCTATAATTTTTTTTTTTTTTTTTTTTTTTTTGCCGTACGCGGGCCTCTCACTGTTGTGGCCTCTCCCGTTGCGGAGCACAGGCTCCGGATGCGCAGGCTCAGCGGCCATGGCTCACGGGCCCAGCTGCTCCACGGCATGTGGGATCCTCCCGGACCGGGGCACGAACCCGCGTCCCCTGCATCGGCAGGCGGACTCTCAACCACTGCGCCACCAGGGAAGCCCTTGGGTATCCTATAATTTAATTCTTAAAACATTTCCTAATATTTCTACTACTTATAATTTAGCTGCACATAAAATTTTGAAAGTTCTACATTTTCAGAGGACACACTTCTACATAAAATGTTAATAAATCAAATCTGATAGTATACAAAAGAGATAATACATCATGACTAAGGTGAGTTTGCTTAATATTAGAAAACCTAATAATGTGATTCACCACAGTAGGTGATTAAAGCAGAATTCTGTCTTGAAATCTGTGTTATAGTGTATCAGTCTCCCTATTCTTCCTCAATATACCACTTCCCAGTATACTGCAATACTTAAACTCTACCAAAAATAGTCTTTATTTTTAACTTTCCACATGTTCACTGTGCATTCTTGAGAATTTTTCAGACACATTGATTGTTTCTTGGTAATTATTAGATTTGATATTCAAATTATTCTAGAATTCAAATATGACAAACATTAGGCTGTGATTTTTATATTTAGATTTTAAACATTGCATTTTAATTACTATAAAGCTTCTAATTTTCTAAGTTTGTTTCAGAAAGCCAGGGAGAATAAAAAACCATCACTAGAGAACTAAAGATATCCAGATGGTTTGAAACTGATTTTGTTGCTCAATTGCATGTGGCAAGTAAAATTTAAAATTAGTTATAAAACCATCAGTTATAAAACCATTCAGTTATAAAACCATCAGCTGGAAAAATATGAAGCAGAATACAAAATAAATGGATCAGCTTTTAAAAACCAAGAGTCTACACATAACATTGCAAAATTTTTCCTAACCAAAAATCCAGTGTCACAATTAGGTGGCAAAGCAATCAGAAAATCTAACAAATGTCTGTAGAACTGTAAAAATAAAGAATATTCTTTGGAAATCTGGGCAAAAATTGCTGTCTGTTGTAGTAGCATTCAACATAGAACTTTGGAAAGGAGATGAGATAACTGTGTCCAGCTAAAAGAAAGAAATTAATATGAAAAAGAATAAGTTGAAGAGTGAGTGCGAAAAAGCAACCTGATCAAAAAATGGGCAGAAGACCTAAATAGACATTTCTCCAAAGACATGCAGATGGCCAACAATCACATGAAAAGAGGCTCAACATTGCCAATTATTAGAGAAATGCAATTCAAAACTATAATGAGGGCTTCCCTGGTGGCGCAGTGGTTGAGAGCCCGCCTGCCAATGCAGGGGACACGGGTTCGTGTGCTGGTCCAGGAAGATCCCACATGCCGCGGAGCGGCTGGGCCTGTGAGCCGTGGCCGCTGAGCCTGTGCGTCCGGAGCCTGTGCTCCACAATGGGAGAGGCCCGCGTTCCGCAAAAAAAACAAAACAAAACAAAAAAAACCCAAAACTATTATGAAGTATCACCTTACCCTGGTCAGAATGGCCATCATCAAAAAGTCTACAAATAAATGCTGCAGAGGGTGTGGAGAAAAGAGAACCTTCCTACACTTTTGGTGGGAATGTAAATTGGTATAGTCACTATGGAAAATAGTCTGGAGGTTCCTTAAAAACTAAAAATAGAGTTACCATGTGATCTGGAAAAGATGAAAACTCTAATTCAAAGATATACATGCACCCTAATGTTTCATAGCATCACTATTTACAGTAGCAAAGGCATGGAAGCAACCTAAGTGTTCATCAACTGATGAATGGATCAAGAAGATGTGGTGTGTACACACACACACACACACACACACACACACACACACACACAGGAATATTACTCAGCCATAAAAAGGAATGAAATATTGCCATTTGCAGCAATGTGAATGGACTTAGAGATTATCATACTGAGTGAAGTAAGCTAGGCAGAGAAAGACAAATATATAATATCACTTATATGTGGAACTAAAAAAATAATGCAGATGAACTTGTTTACATAACAGAAACAGACTCACTGACATAGAAAACAAACTCATGTTTACCAAAGGAGAAAGAGGTGGGGGGGGAGATAAATTAGGAGTATGGGATTAACAGATACACACCACTGTACGTAAAATAAACAACAGTGATTTACTGTATAGTACAAGAACCTATATTCAATATCTTGTAATAACCTATAATGGAAAAAAAATCAGAGAAAATATGTATAACTGAATCACTTTGCTGTACATTTGAAACTAATACAATATTGTAAATTAGCTGTACTCTAGTTGAAAACAAAGAGTAAATGAACAGCTATATACGCATTCAGAAAGAGAATTATGAGATTAGGAAATGTGGTAATCAGAATACAGCATTGAACTCTACACTGAATGATACAGATGCTCTGTGGTCTTTGATTTGCTAGATTAATTTGTTGGCTTTGTACTACAGAGTTAGACACTTTGAGTCAACTAAGTTAAAGTCTAGTGGAGAGAACACTGTATTTGGTGTAGTTAGAAGACTTTTTTTTTAATTTAAGTTTGTTACTGAAGAAAATGAAGATAATCTCTTCTGTTTGTTTCTTTCCTTGTTTTCATTGAGGTATAATTGACGTACGACATTATATTAGTTTCAGGTGTACACCATAATGATTTGATATTTATAAATATTGAGAAATGATCACCACCGTAAGTCTAGTTAACACCTAGACAGTGTCACCAAAAACAGTTACAGGATTTTTTTTCTTGTGATGAGATCTTTCAAGATTTATTCTCTTTGCAACTTTCAAATATACAATACAGTATTAACTATAGTTACCATGCTATACAGTGTATTCCTGTGACTTACATTTACTTTATAATTGGAAGCTTGTACCTTTTGGCTCCCTTCACCATTTTGCCCACTCCTGACCTCCTGCTTCCAAGCTTCCAACAACCAACCGTCAGTTTGTTCCCTTTATCTATGAGCTTGTTTTCTTGTTTTTTTTTTTTAAGATTCCACATATATGTGAGATCGTCATACAATATTTGCTTTTTTCTGTCTTATTTCACTTAACATTGTGCACTCAGGTTCCATCCATGTTGTCACAAGTGGCAAGATTTCATTCTTTCTATGGTTGAATAAAATTCCATTATATATAGAGATCTCTCGCTCTCTTTATATACACACACACACACACACACACACACACACACATATATATATATATATATATATATACCACATTTTCTTTATTCATCAGTGAGCACTTACATTGTGTCCATATCTTGGCTATTGTAAATAATGCTACAGTGAATGGAAGCATATATCTTTTTGAGTTAGTGTTTTCATTTTCTTTGAATAAATACTCAGAAATGGAATTGCTGGATCATGTAGTAGTTCTATTTTTAATTTTTTGAGGAACCTCCTTACTGTTTCCCACCAACACTGCACAAGGGCTCCCTTTTCTGAACATCCCCGCCAACACCTGTGATTTCTTGTTTTTTTGGTGATAAGCCATTTTATTTTATTGTTTATTTATTTATTTTAAAAATTATTCATTTATTTTTTAGTACATCTTTATTGGAGTATAATTACTTTACAGTGCTGTGTAAATAGCCATTTTAACAGGTGTGAGGTGATATCTCATTGTAGTTTTGATTTGCATTTCCCTGATGATGAGTGACGTTGAGCATCTTTTCATGTGTTCGCTAGCCATTTGTATGTCTTTGGGAAAATGTTTATTCAGATCCTTTGCTCATTTTTAATTGGATTTTTTTTTTTTGTTTTTAAGTTCTTTATATATTTTGGATATTAACGCCATATCAGGTATATGGTTTGCAGATATTTTCTCCAATTTCATAGGGTGCCTTTTCATTTTATTGATGGTTTTTCCTTTGCTGTTCAGGGTAATATCTTAATATAAATGTTGAGACTAAAGATAAAGCATCAGAGTATTCCTTTTTTCTTCTTTTAAATTAAAAAAAAAATGGATGCGGTAATACACTCTGTATAAAATTCAAAACGTATAAAAGGGTATACTGAAAGGAAGGTTTCCCTTCCGGCCAACATTGTTCCCCAGCCATCCCAGTTCCTCTCCCTTTAGGAAATAATGTTACTCATTACCCGTATATACTTTGAGAGATTTTATGCTATACAGCTTGTATAATGTGTATACAGTATTTTTTTAAAGCAGATAATAGCATTCTGTGCACACTGTACCCTTCTTTTTCATTTAACATATTTTGGAGATTATACCATCTCAAACACACGGCCTCTCTGTTCTTTTTTTCTTTAAAATTGATATATAATTCACATACCATAAAATTTTCTACTTTGTACACCACTGTTTTTTGTTTTTGTTTTTGTTTTTGTTTTCCGGTACGTGGGCCTCTCACTGTTGTGGCCTCTCCCATTGCGGAGCACAGGCTCCGGACGCACAGGCTCAGCGGCCATGGCTCACGGGCCCAGCCGCTCCGCGGTATGTGGGATCTTCCCGGACCGGGGCACGAACCTGTGTCCGCTGCATCGGCAGGCGGACTCTCAACCACTGCGCCACCAGGGAAGCCCTACACCACTGTTTTTTAACATATTCATAAGGTTGTGCAGCTATCACCACAGTCTAATTCCAGATCATTTAGAAGACTCAGTTTTGAATCCTAGCTCTAGCACTTGCTTAGCTCTCACACTTAGATATGTGCTGTTGAATGAGTCACTCATGTCACAGTGCCTTTATTTTTTACTTGGTGATAGGAACTGCCTTATAGGATTGTTTGAAGGATTAGTGATATACAGAAAGGCACATTATAAACCATAGAAGTCGATCCAAATGATTATTATTATATTTGTTACATTGTAAAGCTCTAAATACAGAGGTCATGATTGGTTGGCTTTTTGTGTGCTGCCGCTGAAACAAAAGGAAAGCCACATTAAATTTGTATACCTATACCTTATAGTGCCTAAAGAAATTAGATTATATATTTTTTAAATGGGCAAAGCTGTTAGTAACCATTTGTTTGTTGTATAAGAGAGTATTTCTTTAATTTTCTCTTGACACATGTAGTGATTATACAGAAGACCCTGAAATTTGTGGATAAGGTCAAGAGAAATTATCAAGTTGCTAAAATAGTAAAAATCAGTATATAGAAAATGAGCATGGTCTTCTGCAGAAATAATCATATGGTAGATACCTTGCTTAACAAATTTGGAGAGCACTCAAGTACAGTAAAGGAGAACAGAATTTATCCTCAGAACTGGAATGTAAGTAACTAGGGAAAGCTATAATCCAGTTAATTTGGTTGTAAATTGACTGACAAATGGTTACATTAACTGAAGGGCAGTGATATGCATGGAGAGAAGAAAGATGTATGCCAGAGATCAACAGCTGTCCTTATATCTTTAGCACTGTCTACAAAGAATGTGTATGCTGACTAGCCAACTCCAGTTTTCTGCTTGGAAGGCACTTCTTTAGTGCAGTTAGGTGTGTCAGCTTCTCTAAGAATGAGGAGGACAATAGCCATTAAGGTAATTTAAGTCAATGATTCTACTCCCACCCATCCATTTTTCTGAAGAATATGATACAACCTCAGTGGTAACAGTTCTCCCTGGTAGTGATTTTTCAAGGATATGGGAAGGCAGTGAGAGAGAGATGGGAGTTACCTACCTGTGTTAAAGATGGTACACTAGGATCTCAGGAGATCTGACCCTCTCAGCTTTGACTCCATGTTTTCTAAGAAAACTTCAGAAACTAATTTTGCTTCTTTTAGAAGCTTCCTTGTGGTTCATTGATTTTATTCATTCACATATTCATTCATTCATCAAATTCATGTAGCACCTACTGTGTACTAGTGGCTAAAACAGAGAGACACTCCTGACTCCCAAAGAACATATGTTTAGTGGAGGATTCAAAGAAGTAAACTAACAATCAAAATACACAGTGATGAATATTGTGAATAATAGAGCAAGTACGCCGGTGATAGAATATGAAGCCATCTGGAAACTGAAGGTGTTTGGTATAGGCTAGACTAGATTTTAGAGTGGCCAGAGATCAGTCTGGGGGAAGCAGGAGTGTGAAGGTCTTTGCCAAGTCCCATAAAGGATTCTGTACTTTATGTGAAAAGGAATAGGTAGCCATTGAGAGTTTTTAGGCAGAAGAATGATGTGATAGCTTTTGCATCTTAAAAGAATTTTGAGGCAGTGTGGAGAATGGATTGCAGAGGGACAGAAGAGAAGTGACAATGGCCCGAATTAGGGAAGTGACAATGGCCTGAATTAGGGAAGTGACAGTGAAGATTGAGAGACATGAGCAAACTTTTTTCAGGCACTTTTGGAAGAAAAAAATCATAAAAATTAGTCATTCATTGGAAGTAGAGGGTGAGGGAGAGTTAGAGGTGGTATCCAAGTTTCTTGGTTGAGTACCACGTCTATAAACTTACAAATTCATTTTTTTCATTGTACATTTTTAATTATAGCATGAACATTTATTTTAAACATCTCTTACTTAAACCTTTTTTTTTATTTCTGGAAATAAGTAAGGATCTTACCTGAACAGTTATCTAGAAAGTTGAGGAAAGCAGGAGGGAAGGAGAGATGTAGATCATAGGAAGCAATTTGGGACCAGGCTAATTAAATGGGGTAAATAGTATTTAAGGCACTAATGAAGAGACAGACCTTGGCTAGGGATAGGTGGAAACTCTCTTGATAATATTTATCACATGATTACTGGAAGGGAATTTTCCTTTCTTAATTTTAATACCCTCCTGGGTGTTCGGCAACAGCTTTAGAAATACCCCTTTAAAGGAGGGTACCTCCTGCCCTTTGATTTCAGATTTTTATAACAATTTTGTGAACCAGGATAGTAAAAATTTTCCTGAGGCACAATGTACTTTTTTTATTAAAAGGATAGTTTTAGAATGTACATGGAATTCTTTACAACTTCCTTTGGTCAAGTTACAGTTTGTGCCACAATTTTTTCATCTATAAAATGACAGTAATGAAACCTGACTACAGTAATATGTGTGTGGGGGGGCGGGGGGGAGGGAGGGAGGGAGGGATAGAGAAAGGCTGCTGGCATAGTGCCTGCACATAGTAGGTGCTCAATAAATTTTTTTTCCCCTATAATTTGGTTTCTTTCAGTTTTGTCTTTTTCGGTTTATTGAGTTGTCAGAAGTAATAAAATTAAAAATATATGTATTTTCTTAATTCCAGCCATTTAATGTAATGGCTTTATTTTCCATGGAATGGAGGATGGAAATTTTAAAGTGTCTTATTAAGTAATTCTATATGTGTAGTGGTATACTAGTTATAAATATGGCAAATATTTAAGGATCAAATGAGTTTAATAATTGGTGTGTTTTTAAAAAATTGTTTTAAGTGTTTCTCTTGCCTTTTTTTTTTTTTTTTTGGTTTTGCCTTCCATTACTTCCTTGTTTTTTTTTTTAATATGTTTTACATCAGCAACATTTTATTAATACTGTAAAATTCACTTTAGGTATATAAGTGATAAACATGTATGTAGCATTCTGGTGGACTCTTGGTGCCTGCCCTCAGAAGTTTCTTTGTATAGATGAATGGCAGCAGAATTACTCACCAAACTGTGTGAGACTGTGTTCTTTTTAAAGACAAGAACATTTCCAGTCTTACTGTTTCCTTGCTTTCCATTTGATGTGCTTAGGACAGACCCAACACTCAAGCAGTGTTTAATGATTTAATAAATCTATTAACATAAAATTGAATGCCAAAATGAACACAGATCCCTGTGTTAGAAATCTCATCCTAAAAGCCTGGTCACCACAGGCAGACAATAACTATTCCAACAACTTAAGTGATAGGTAGTGGAGAAAAGAGAAGTTGAATAGGAGGCTTCTGTTCTGATGTTTTAAAATATTTTTGTTAGGCAGTAATTTGTCTTACGTTTTATTTCACATGTAGGGAATTCCAAATGAAAGCTGGAGAATCACAAAGATAAATGAACGGTATGAGCTTTGTGATACATACCCTGCCCTCTTGGTTGTGCCGGCAAATATTCCTGATGAAGAATTAAAGAGAGTGGCATCCTTCAGATCACGGGGCCGTATCCCAGTAAGTGCGAAGCTGTTCTGAAACTTTCCCATTGTTTTTGTACTTCACATAATGGTGAGGATGACAAATGGGAGAATGGTTGCAGGATTAAAAATAGCTACAGGGCTTCCCTGGTGGCGCAGTGCTTGAGAGTCCGCCTGCCGATGCAGGAGACGCGGGTTCGTGCCCCGTTTCGGGAAGATCCCACATGCCGCGGGGCGGCTGGGCCCGTGAGCCATGGCCGCTGAGCCTGCGCGTCCGGAGCCTGTGCTCCGCAAATGGGAGAGGCCACAACAGTGAGAGGCCCGCATAACGCAAGGAAAAAAAAAAAAAAAAAAAGCTACAGCGGAAGGTCTTCTCTGGGGATATTAGAGAATGTGTTATTTAGTAAAATTAAAACCAGAGGAAAGACTTAGACTAAAGACGTTCTTGGAGAATTTGAGATGGATATTAGAGAGCTGCACAGAATTGCATGGTTCTTAACTTGAAAACAAAGTTGGCTCTGTATTCAGTATTTCTTTATCTTATTATACATCTTCGGTCATGGTGATAAACGCTTTTTTTCCTTTAAATCCTAGAAAGAAGAAAACTTTACAAATTTGTGATGAATTACTGTGTTCTAGAAAGATAGCTCAAATAATTTTAGGTACAAAAATTCAGATTCTGAAGACTTTATAGTTGGACAGTTTTGCTGATACAGTACTCAGACTTTAAAAGTGGGGTTTACTTAGCCCCCTTTTAATCTATTTTTTTTCTAGAGACCAAACTTCCAATAATCAGTGACTTTCATAAATCAATGTCTGATTAATGAATTAGACCAAGTTTTCCACATGCTAGTATTGGCTTGAAAGAAAGGTGATGATTTTCATAGCAGCCTCGTATTTCCTTTTATGGCTAGCCTTTGAATCCAGTTAGAAAGCAGAGTTTTATAGAGTAATGATTTTCAGAAGGATTATAAACAGAGAAGCATGTAAAGGGTGTGTTGCCACTTTTTCCCCCCCATTAAGGTTTTATCATGGATTCATCCTGAAAGTCAAGCCACAATCACTCGGTGTAGCCAGCCCATGGTAGGGGTAAGTGGGAAGCGAAGCAAAGAAGATGAAAAATACCTTCAAGCCATTATGGACTCCAATGCCCAATCTCATAAAATGTTTATATTTGACGCCCGGCCAAGTGTTAATGCTGTTGCCAATAAGGTGAGATCATCTTCCAGTAATTAATATTATAGTTACAGTTTCATGAGTTTGGTGGGAGCCACAGTGCACTAGAAAGACTTTGGGCTTTTCAATGATAAAAGTGTAGATTCTAATCCTGACTCTTCTACTTGATAGTATAACTTAAAAGAATTTTTTAAATTTTATATTGGAGTATACTTGATTAAAAATGTTGTATTAGTTTCAGGTATACAGAAAAGTGACTCATTTATACATATAAATGTATCTATTCTTTTTCAAATTCTTTTCCCATTTAGCTTATTACAGAATATTGATCAGAGTTCCCTGTGCTATACAGTAGGTCCTTATTGGTTATTTGTTTTAAATATAGCAGTGTGTACATGTCAATCCCAGTATAATGTGGAGTCAGTTATTTAATCTTTTTAGTAAGTCAATCCCAGTATAATGTGGAGTCAGTTATTTAATCTTTTTAGTAACTTTAATTTGCTTATTTGTGAAATGAGAATCATAATAACTAACAGGGTTGTTTTAGGGGCAAAACTCACCTGATAAAAAATAGTGCATAATCCTGCTTACTTACGTAAGAAATAGGTATTCATCAATTACTAGTTTCTCTTTCACATCTCCAAACTGGACAATAAACTGAGCTTGTGACTGACAAAAGAAGTCTGCACAGCACTGTTGCAGAAATCATGCAGTGTTCTCAGTGACCAGTGCTGCCCTCTTCTGGCAGCTCTCCACCTGTACAAGCTATTCAGACTGAAAACTTGCAGTTAGCTGGAGCAGTGGTCCTGATTTCTGCTATAGAATAAATATTAGCATTGTGGAACTAGAAATTCTAGTCCAGTTGACAAAATATACCATAGGAGAAGGAAAGAGAAGAGATACAATTTAGCTTTAAAAAATTGCCTCATATACAAGCAGAAAAAAACCCCAAAAGCCCCCCCAAAACTAAAACACCCCAAATCTCATAACTAAATAAGAGAGAAACACCATTAAATCTTGGTTATACATCCAGGCCTATGTGCAGATGGCATGCACACATATATTTGAGACAGAATGGGATAATTACAACTTCCTTTTTTTAATTGGTGCTGTTTCTTGCTATGCCAATAAATATCTGTAACATGATAATTACTAACACCAATTGTTTTTGGTTATTTCTGGTGTTTTTTTTTTTTTTTTGTATTATAAACAGAGCTGGGGTGACCATCCTTAAATTAAATCATGGATCATGTACCTAATTATTTCTGTCCTATTTAGTGTTTTGAGGACATTGTGAATTTCAGACATTCTCTGTTAAACTGTATTTCCCCTTAAAGGAGAAATGAGGCAATGTGTATATGAAGCTGGTACCCCAGAGACTGGCATGTATTTTTCCAGTAATTACTTGTTCCCGTCCGTAAACCTTATACCATGAATTAGCAGGAACGAGACTTAAGATGTTATCTAGGATGAGAGATGGAGAGAGGTGTATAAGGCAGAAAAGGGGGTAGAGCAAAATATTACATTCCTCGTCTTTATTTTTTTTTAACATCTTTATTGGAGTATAATTGTTTTACAATGGTGTGTTAGTTTCTGCTTTATAACAAAGTGAATCAGCTATACATATACATATATCCCCATATCTCCTCCCTCTTGCGTCTCCCTCCCTCCCACCCTCCCTATCCCACCCCTCTAGGTGGTCACAAAGCACCGAGCTGATCTCCCTGTGCTATGCGGCTGCTTCCCGCTAGCTATCTATTCTACATTTGGTAGTGTATATCTGTCCATGCCACTCTCTCACTTCTTCCCAGCTTACCCTTTCCCCTCCCCATGTCCTCAAGTTCATTGTCTACGTCTGTGTCTTTATTCCTCTCCAGCGCCTAGGTTCTTCAGAATGATTTTTTTTTTTAGGTTCCGTATATATGTGTTAGCATATGGTATTTGTTTTTCCCTTTTTGACTTCACTCTGTATGACAGACTCTAGGTTCATCCACCTCACTACAAATAGTTCAATTTTGTTTCTTTTTATGGCTGAGGAATATTCCATTGTATATATGTGCCACATCTTCTTTATCCATTCATCTGTCGATGGACAGCTAGGTTGCTTCCATGTCCTGGCTATTGTAAATAGAGCTGCAATGAACATTGTGGTACATGACTCATTTTGAATTACGGTTTTCTCAGCATATATGCCCAGTAATGGGATTGCTGGGTGGTATGGTAGTTCTATTTTTAGCTTTATAAGGAACCTCCATACTATTCTCCATACTGGCTGTATCAATTTACATTCCCACCAAGAGTGCAAGAGGGTTCCCTTTTCTCCACACCCTCTCCAGCATTTATTGTTTGTAGATTTTTTGATGATGGCCATTCTGACTGGTGTGAGGTGATACCTCATTGTACTTTTGTTTTTTGGTTTTTTTTTTGGTACGCAGGCCTCTCACTTTTGTGGCCTCTCCCGTTGAGGAGCACAGGCTCCAGACGCATAGGCTCAGCGGCCATGGCTCACAGACCCAGCTGCTCCACGGCATGTGGGATCTTCCCAGACCGGGGCATGAACCCGTGTCCCCTGCATCGGCAGGCGGACTCTCAACCACTGCGCCACCAGGGAAGCCCCCTCATTCTACTTTTGATTTGCATTTCTCTAATGGTTAGTGATGTTGAGCATCATTTCATGTGTTTGGTGGCAATCTGTATATCTTCTTTGGAGAAATGTCTGTTTAGGTCTTCTGCTCACTTTTGGATTGGGTTGTTTGTTTTTTTGATGTTGAGCTGCATGAGCTGCTTGTAAATTTTGGAGATTAATCCTTTGTCAGTTGCTTCATTTGCAAGTATTTTCTCCCATTCTGAGGGTTGACTTTTCATCTTATGGTTTCCTTTGCTGTGCAAAAAGCTTTTAAGTTTATTAGGTCCCATTTGTTTATTTTTGTTTTTATTTCCATTTCTCTAGGAGGTGGGTCAAAAAGGGTCTTGCTGTGATTTATGTCAAAGAGTGTTCTTCCTATGTTTTCCTCTAAGAGTTTGATAGTGTCTGGCCTTACATTTAGGTCTTTAATCCATTTTGAGTTTATTTTTGTGTATGGTGTTAGGGAGTGTTCTAATTTCACTCTTTTACATGTAGATTTCTATTTTTCCCATCACCACTTATTGAAGAGGCTGTCTTTTCTCCATTGTATATTCTTGCCTCCTTTATCAAAAGTACAGTCACCAGGGCTTCCCTGGTGGCACAAAGGTTGAGAGTCCACCTGCCGATGCAGGGGACACGGGTTCGTGACCCGGTCCGGGAAGATCCCACATGCCACGGAGTGGCTGGGCCTATGAGCCATGGCTGCTGAGCCAAAAAAGTACAGTCACCATATGTGTGTGGGTTTATCTCTGAACTTTCTCTTCTATTCCATTGATCTATATTTCTGTTTTTGTGACAGTACCATACTGCCTTGATTACTGTAGCTTTGTAGTATAGTCTGAAGTCTAGGAGCCTGATTCCTCCAGCTCCGTTTTTCGTTCTCAAGATTGCTTTGGCTGTTCCAGGTCTTTTGTATTTCCATACAAACTGTGAAATTTTTTGTTCTAGTTCTGTGGAAAATGCCATTGGTAGCTTCACAGGGATTGCATTGAATCTGTAGATTGCTTTGGGTAGTATAATCATTTTCACAATGTTGATTCTTCCAATCCAAGAACATGGTATATCTCTCCATATGTTTATATCATCTTTAATTTCTTTCCTTAGTGATTTATAGTTTTCTGCATACAGGTCTTTTGTCTCCTTAAGTAGGTTTATTCCTAGGTATTTTATTCTTTTTGTTGCAGTGGTAAATAGGAGTGTTTCCATAATTTCTCTTACAGATTTTTTTATCATTAGTGTATAGGAATGCAAGAGATTTCTGTGCATTAATTTTGTATCCTGTCACTTGACCAAATTCATTGATTAGCTCTAGTAGTTTTCTGGTAGCATCTTTAGGATTCTCTATATTCTTATGTCATCTGAAAACAGTGACAGCTTTACTTCTTCTTTTCCAATTTGGGTTCCTTTTATTTCTTTTTCTTCTCTGATTGCTGTGGCTAAAACTTCCGAAACTGTGTTGAATAACAATGGTGAGAGCGGACAACCTTGTTTTGTTCCTGATCTTAGAGGAAATGGTTTCAGTTTTTCACCATTGAGAATGATGTTGGCTGTGGGTTTGTCATATATGGCCTTTATTACGTTGAGGTAAGTTCCTGCTATGCCTACTTTCTGGAGGGTTTTTATTGTAAATGGGTGTTGAGTTTTGACAAAAGCTTTTTCTGCATCTACTGAGATGATCATATGGTTTTTCTCCTTCAATTTGTTAATATGGTGTATCACATAGATTGATTTGCATATATTGAAGAATCCTTGCATTCCTGGGATAAATCCCACTTGATCATGGTGTATGATCTTTTTAATGTGCTGTTGGATTCTGTTTGCTAGTAGTTTGTTGAGGATTTTTGCATCTGTGTTTATCAGTGATATTGGCCTGTAGTTTTCTTTCTTTGTGACCTCTTTGTCTCGTTTTGGTATCAGGGTGATGGTGGCCTTGTAGAATGAGTTTGGGAGTGTTCCTCCCTCTCCTATATTATTTTGAAAGAGTTTGAGAATGATAGGTGTTAGCTCTTCTGTAAATGTTTGATAGAATTCGCCTCTGAAGCCATCTGGTCCTGGACTCTTGTTTGTTGGAAGATTTTTAATCACAGTCTCAATTTCAGTGCTTGTGATTGGTCTGTTCATATTTTCTATTTCTTCCTGGTTCAGTTTCAGAAGGTTGTGCTTTTCTGAGAATGTCCGTTTCTTCCAGGTTGTCCATTTTATTGGCATATAGTTGCTTGTAGTAATCTCTCATGATCTTTTGTATTTCAGCTGTGTTAGTTGTTACTTCTCCTTTTTCATTTCTAATGCTGTTGACTTGAGTCTTCTCCCTTTTTTTCTTGATGTCTAGCTAATGGTTTATCAGTTTTGTTTACCTTCTCAAAGAAACAGCTTTTAGTTTTAGTGATCTTTGCTATCATTTCCTTCATTT